GTGTCAACCGCACCACTCAACTTGGTGTCGTAGGCAAACTTGCTGAGGGTCATGCCACAGCTAATAACTAATAGTACTAGGACTGTAGTGGTAGAAGATGCTTGGTTGCTGCTATTGTTCAGCCTCAGCATTGCTGATGCCCTTATCAATTTAGAAAGACGTAGACATAGGAATAAATACATTTCATACTTTCTCACTGTTGCTATACTTATCTTCTTCCTTCACTGATGTTATCATCATGTGAGGACGAATTTAGATAGTAATCTCCAAAAGCATTTGTCACTTTACTGTCTATTATGTGCCAGTCCTACACCTGTGGTGCTATATACATGCTAATAATACATCAATATGCTCATTCTTTATAAGTTCTGTAGGTGGAATTCCATCTGGTTGTATATGTCAAGTAAGATGTTGGTGTGAAAAGTCCTTGCTGTTTGGAATTTGCGATGGCTTATGAGCAGTTGGGAAATGACAGAAAAAGAGATCACAAAACGGGACGTGCTTATCATTTGAACAAAGACATCCAGACATATGCTTAAGACAGTGGCTGTGACTAGTGAAGAATACCAAAGTGGTATAATTCTTCTCTAACCTCTGAAAAGCCTTAGTGAAGTAATTAGGACATTAACCAGTCTTTTCAGCTGTTTCTGAATATTTTCAGCTTAACCTACTCTATTTAAGAAAGTTTTGATACTTGAAGCACTGCCTTTTCTTTCACAAGATGTATCTACTTTGGGTTCTTTTGGGAGTGAGTGTTAAGAACTCGGAGCATGTCCAGGCTCCCCTAAAAGCTTTTCTGTCTTCATCCAGATAACTGGTCTCAGATGACCGGGTCATCAGTTTCAGAAAGATCAGTCTTGGCTTCCGCGTAGCCATGCAGGAACTCACCAGCAGGGAGTGATGTGCAGGGCCAGGGTAAATTTGTACAAAATATGATTCTGTGATTCTGTGAAAATATCTTTACTATTCCCTGGGCTGAACTTCTGTCCTTTCCCATGAGATACTGGTGGATTTCGTTGAATTAGACTAAGAAAACTTGATCCTAAGAACCTTGTAATCCAAAATGTAAAAAGCTAGAGAATACAGGAAATAATTTTGCAGCTCTTCCCAGTTGCAAATTGGATGACGTCTGGAAATGTCCCCATTGGCTAATCTAAATTGTATTCTGAGCTGCTCTAAGTATTCATCACTTGCCAAGGATTAATGTAACCACAGATTACAAAGGGGAACAATTCAGGGCTTCCTGGCTAAAGGGAAAACAAGTTTTTCCTTCCTCCATTTCATCTCTTGGCCACTTCCACTGGAACAAATACTGATTGTGATTAAGCCTAAAAAAAGGAAGTTTCAAAACTAGAAAGTCCTGATAATTAATAAAAATAGCCTTTAAAATAGTACTTATGCATTGCTTAGTGCACAGTTTAGATGCATATTTGTTACGGAGATACACATACAGCTATGCACAAGCTGCCTTGTGGGGTGAGACTAAGAAATGGAGGTGTTTTATCACACTCAGGAAATCGTATCATCATCCAGGGATTAAGGCTGGTTAGGCAGGAGGAGAGCTGAGAATCACAGAAGCCAGGGGCAGCCCTGGGGCTGAGGGTGGGAGGAGGAGGAGAGGGAGGAGGAGGAAGGCAGCTGCTTGCCTGTCCTCGCAGCCTGCAAAGCTGCCGGCCACTAGTGCCCATATGGCCAGGAGCAAGGCCACCCTCTGCACATGGCTGGGCTGCCCCGGGCTGCTGGGCTGTTTCTTGCTGGGCTTTCTTGCAGGTGAGTACAGAGACACCAGGGCTCAGTCTGCAGCCTTCGCCTTCTACAGATACTTATGTGCAACCCCTGTTGTGATTAACTCCCTCTCAGGGAGATTGTACTGCTTTTTAGGGATGTTATAAAATACTCGTCCCACTGTTTTTCTAAGAGGTCGTTCTCTCTAGCCATTTTGGTCTTTAGGGAGTGAGGAGTATCACAGCTGTACGCTCCAGCCTGAGACCAGCCCTGCTGAATTGTCAGCTTCCCATAACGGGCAGTCAGACACTCAAAGAGGAGAGATTAATAGAAGAGTTTGAGACTTCTGTGATTGTAAAACCTCTAGGATTATATTTTTATTTGTATTTCCTGATTTTTACTGAAGATCTGTTTAAATGCTCCTATTCAGTTGCTATTTTAGAAAGTAAGGGCAGAATGAAGAGGAGGAGGAGCTTTGACTGACAGCCAAGAATGGAGCTACTGAATTTTCCGTCATGTACAATGAACTTCACTAGAACATTAGATTCTTTTCTGCAGTCGCTTGTAGCATTTGATTTTAAGTCTAAAATTGCATGTCTGCATCTGTCCTTTTTAAACTTGTGTGGTATCACACACCTAAGGCTAAAGCATGAAAAAAAAATTCATGAGGGCTATTAAATATGGAAAAAAAAAAAAAGTATTTGTTTGATTTCGGAGATCCCTGAGCTGGAAATTTCTGATGCTTGAGCTATTATACATTTCATTGAACATCATATTTTGGCCATGCTCCAAAACAGGACACTGACCTTTGGCCTAATCCATTATCACTGTTATATTCAGAGTGTTACTACAATTGCATTTAAGTCTAACAAATCATATATATTATGCATGTATATTATGCACATATAGATTGTTTTATTATGACAACTTTCCCAGTTTGAGATTTTCTAGCTTTAATAGTAAAAGGATTTGGGATTTTTTAAAGATAAATTCATATAGTTGATACGCTCTCTCCTTTCAATTTATGGCAACTGTAAAATCTTTAACTTTTTAAAACTGACTAGGGTCACAGTTAACTTTATTCCTTTAATTATTAAATACACTAACCTCACCTTTCCCCAAATCTGTAACTATTATAATGCTGCCAGTGTGGCTGTTGAGTCCTAGACCTTCACCTATGCACATATTTTAAAATATATTTATATATTAAATGAGAGAATTTCATCCTGAGTATCAGGAGTTCAATCCTCTCACTGCAAACAGTTAATTGAGAATTTAAACTATAGTTTAAAATTAATGAGAGATGAATTTGCCTTAAAAAGGGGATGACATTTACCTGAGATTTAGGATGCATTCTTTTAATTATGACACTTTTTTGGCAATTCAGTCAATGAAGTCTATTTTGCTTTTCTGTTGCACTCCTATGTTTGAGCCAGCAAACGCTGGCAGAGGGTGCTCTAAGCCCTATTCATCCCCGTGGTTTTAGTGAGACTGTTCAGTACTTCAGGTTGCACATGGACTCAAATATGTGAGGACTGAGGTTCTTGTTCTTGCTAAGTAGGAAACTTTTCAAATGTGTTTCAGGATGGTTTACAAAACCGACTGAAAAAAACCCCTACTCTTCAGATGTCTATCAAAATGTAAGACAGAAACTTGTGGCTGAAATGAAAGCAGAAAACATCAAGCAATTCCTTCGGTAAGCCCTGTGTCTCTTGGTTTTTAAATAATTTAATCGGTCACAAAAGCCAGAAAGTGGCAACATTAGCTCCAATGAACAGCCTGTGAAAGCAGAGCTATTAAGATGCTTTGGAAGTATTTGCTTTGTACAAAATATCTTGAGGAAGGAGAAAGGAGAGACTCATAACCTTTCCGTTCCACCCCCTCTATTTTTGAAGTTACCTTTTTGGAGTGGTTGTACTGTTAAGTGTACTTCCCGCCAGCTGCATTACTGCCAGTGCTTATCATGCTTTTTTATTATGGTTTTCCATTCAATGCAGTGTTAGTCTCTGTTTGTTCCTTACAAGTGCCTGAAGCTCTAACATTGGATAACTTTGCCTTGTCTCAGACTGAGGTGATTTTACTGTATTTGGGATACACTGATTTCTGTTAATTACATTTGATTGGTAATCTGTCCAGTATCTCTTCAAACCTTCACTTTGACCATCTAGTCTAAGTAGGAAATAAGTATGTTAAAAATTTAGCATGAAAAATGCTATGAAGTTTGCATGACACTGAGTTGCAGTTACAACTGATAATTCCTTGTGTGACCATATTGGATAATGTGCTGTTAATTGGGTCCTTGAGATCCCATTGTACCCAGTCTTCTGTTTCAGAAGATGAAGGGTCCTGTCCATGCACAGAGGGTGTGTATGGTTGGTTAAGTCTTGCATGGTGTAATCGCTATTAAATATAATTTTTTGCATCCTAGTGCATCCATGCAGTTTTAAAATATCTAAAATGCTGGGGATATAGAAATAGCCTCTTATTTTGCTATGTATTCCACTGAAAATAATTTTTTAAAAAATCATTATTGTGCATATTTCTATCTTCTACAGAGGAACAAATATATTCACACAAAAAGTAAACAAATATAACCTCTGGTTAGTAACATGTAAGTCAGCAGCCACATCATAAACATCAAAGGATTACTGTCAAATTTGATTTCTGTACATTTATTCCAAAACCAAAAGGTCTCATTTCTAAAATCAATTAGCTTTGTAAATCTGTAGGCCTTATCTTGTTTTTATTTACTGCTCTCAATAGATTGCAGAGTTCCTGAAGATTATGTTTGAGAGTCTAGGCAACATAGAGCTTGATGACAGCATGAAATAGCTTTGCAATTATGCTCAAATTTCTTGACCATAGGGTATTAATGATATCTGCTTTGTCTGTTTGCTTTGATGATGGACCAAATGCTTCACACTGGTTTTTATTTTTTCCTAAATGCAAATAAAAAGTAGGAACTGCAGAAAAAATATATTAATACACTATCCAAGAAGTTTTTCAAAAGCATTAAAAATGTGAACTTGAGAATTTCGATCCATATTCTTAGTTTTTCAGACTACTAAATCTGGTTTTATAAAGTAGGGAAAACAAACCATGAGTCTTAGAAAAATCAAACACCTTGACTTTAGTACTGAATTGTAGTTCTGGAAAGGATGAAACTGTTTGGAATTTAAAAATTGAAAAAAGGTGTCAAGTGTTGTTCAGTACATTTTTCCTTATGGCATATGTATTATTTAAACTAAAATACTTAAGGAATTAAAAGGTACTTAAAATACTTTAGAGAATTAAAGTGCAAGAAGAAAACAGGCAACAAGCTTTGGCAAAGGCATTGAACCTCAGTGCATACCTGCACAGTTTAAAGAGAGACAACAGCAGAGAGCAGAAGGTCATGGTCTATATGTAGAATCTAGATACATTCAAATCCAGGGGCCAGGTGGGATTCACATGAAAGACCTGGATGCTATGATTGCAAAGCCCCTGCCTGTGAGAAGTTCTGTTGATTGAAGGAGGTCCTTGGTGGCTGAAAAAGGCTGATGTTGTGCCCGTCTTTAAGTAAGGCAAGAAGGGCAACCTGGGGCCACTGTGGGTGGGTCAGCTTCACTTCAGTCCCTGGAACAGTGACCAAACATCCTTCTGGAGTCTGTTTCCAAACTCATGAAGTACACAAAGATAGTTAGGAACGGTCAGCATATTTTTACTGTGTGTTTATATGATCACCCTGATCAGGGTAATTGTCTTCTCTAAGGAAATGACCGTCTGTGTGTATCAGTGGAGATGCTACAGTGGCTGTGACATCCTTGACTTTAACAAGGCTTTGGACATCATCTCCCACAGCATTCTCATTTGGAAGCTGAGGAAGGGCATACTGAAGAACAAGTTATGTAGGTTGAAAATAGTCTTAACTGACAGGATGAAGTGGTACTGATCATGGTATTTAGTACCACTAGTTGATGGTAATTAATGGTATCTGACCTCTGTGGGGCAGCCATTAACAAGTAGCCTGTTGGGAATTTAAAGCTGGTGCTTAGTACCTGGCTGACTGATCAGCATTCACCATAACACACTTGATCAGTGGGCCAAACAAATTATAGACAGATTTCTGTAGGGTAGCCCAGAGGGGCTGGATATTATTTCTGACTGTTTATCACCATTTTGTGTTATATCTGGTCTGGATGTAATTGTTGTTTAGAAGGCTTTTATTGTTCAGGCTTCTGATTAAGAAAGAAAAAGAACAAATCTGTGCTGATAATTTGACATAATGCTTTTCAAGTTAAACTTACTAGTACCTATTATTCCAACAATGTACAAACCCATCATCAGACACCAGAATAATTTGGAATTATTATTTCTGAATATGTAGCTTTTCTTTATCTATTTCTACTCCTTGCATACTGTTCATATTCTTTTGCTGAATGCCTTTAACACTGGTTTTCATTGCTTGTGTGTAGATGTGGTTATTTCTGTTATGGAAAGAGAAAGGTTCAGCTGACTTATCTTAAGGCCTCAGGAAAGATCCTCTGCTCTGACTACATTTTGTGTTTATGCTGATGCAGACTTTGATAAACAATCATGTCGTACAGCTCCGACTTTAACTATAAGATCTTACTTTCCATGCATGTGGCTTGAAGATAAGCTTTGTACACACTGATCCGAGTTCATTGTTGTGCATTTGCTGCTTGCTAGTGATTTTCTGTTTTATTCTAGCTCATTTACCAAGCTGCCTCATCTCGCAGGAACTGAACAGAATCTTCTTCTTGCCAAACAAATTCAAGGCCAGTGGAAAGAATTTGGACTGGATTCAGCAGAACTTGTTCATTATGATGTGCTTCTTTCGTACCCAAATGAAAAGCAGCCAAACTACATCTCAGTAATTGATAATCAAGGGAATGAGGTGATCTTTTTAATGATTAAGCTACATTTATGTAAGACTTCTTTAAAGAAACAGTGTCTTCCTCTGCTTTCCCATGCACTCAACCTAGCATGTGTTTATAATAGGGGAAAAAATCCAGTGCAACGGGAGCTCGTATATAGAAATGTTTTTCCAGACTGCACAGCAGAACAGCAGAGTGGATGAAATCTCAGTGCCTCCTGCAGTAGATGTGTGGAGAGGCTGCAATTAACACCATAAACCATAAGGTGTAAGAATGTCCATGCTGGTTCAGATTAAGGTTACATCTAGGCCAATATCCTGTTTCCATAAACAGCCTTTAAGTGGATGGACAGGGAAGTTTAAGAACAAAGAAATGTATATAAGGCATGCAATTCTTACAGCATCTACCTGTTTTCAGCTTAGGGGTTCTCTGAGCATGATGCAATTAGGTCTAATGAGGATTCTTAAAGAGACTCTTTTCCAAGTATTTATCCAGCTATTGGCCCCCATTAAATCTCTTTTCCAAGTACCTATGCAACTGCTTTACAGTTTTTGCTTCCACACGCTGAGGTAAGGAATGCTACACAGATAGTATCTGTTGTATGAAGTGCTGCCTTGTTTCATTTGCTCTGATGCTGATTCTACTGGCTTCCTATGGTGTCTCCTAAGTTAGTTTTGGAAGTAATAATAAACTGTTGGTCTATAGTCACCTTCTACATTTTGTACACTCAGGGCAATAAAGAAGTAGATGTAAAATCTGACAAGGAACCTTATTGAGGAGAGGACATGGGACTGCTAGAGAAGCATCATAGCACATAGAGAGGGATGAAGAGCCCTGGTAGGAACTAAGAAATATGTGCTTGGGGATGACTTGAGTTTAGAGATGAATGAATGGAGAAATTCTTCCAAAAGCTCTGTAACAGTCTCAGCTATAATCTCACAAGGTGACAGAGTGAACACGAACCTTGAGGCAATATGAGTGTTACAATAGATAGTGATAAAAGGCAGCATGTTTAACTGGAGTGTAACTGGCAAAGAGGTGAAGAGAAGAGTAATAATATAGATGGGATTAATTGCAAAAAAACCCTGTGATGGCATGGATGAACTAGGTGTCTTTTTCTTGACACCACCTCTTGGCAATTTTCAACTGCTTCTTCACTTAGGCTCAGGCAGTGACTGATGAGCATTTTCTGACAAGTGATCTATCTCTCTCTGTTCGTATCTCCATTCTGTTATAAAAATTCAGCTATTTATACCTAGCTGTTTTTTTGTTTGCTCTTACACGTGTTAGTTAGAATTGTATTATTTGCTAATAGTTTATATGGAAATTAGGATATAATTTGCAATAACCAAGCTTAGTGTACAAATTTGTGCCTGGAGGTAGAGTGTTTGACCAAAGACTTCTGTTATTTATTGATAGATTTTCAACACATCATTGTTTGAACCACCTCCACAGGGGTATGAAAATGTTACTGATATACTGCCACCATATAATGCTTTTTCAGCACAAGGAGTGCCAGAGGTAAGAAAAAAGTTATGTAAGAGTATTATTAGCTGAAGTCATATTTTGCAAAACACTTGCTGAGATAGTTTGCTCCAACCTCTCAAAATATTTCTTGCAGTAGTTTTAATTAGCCATTCGTATAAGAGGACACAGGGATAGCTGAGCCACGTATTGTGTGAAGGTTAGAAGTCTCCTATTAGAAAAAAAAGCTTTGTCAAAGTCTGAATTACATAATAAGAGAAAAGCTTTTATTGTTATGGAAAATGTTGGGTACATTTCAGATTACTCCACATTACTCAATCATATGGAGAGGACCTGTTTAAGTCTTAAGTAGAAATATCAATACATAATTCAATTTGGAAGACATTTTGGATTAAGTGAATGTCTTCAAATGCTAGAAAAGTTCCTCATTTATTCTGATGATTCATTATGGAGAAATAAATCAGGGAGAACATTGCATTGCATAGATGAATGAAATCATAATAGCAAGTGTTTGTGTATACAAGGGATACCACTATTTGTTCATAGCCACAGAGGTTTGTCAGTTTAGCAAAGTGTGCTGGTTTAGATTCCAACCTCAGTTTATAGGGCTGCTGTTAAATGCAGAATAATATAGAAAGGTCAAGAGTTTGAGACAAGACTTCCTATATAATATTATGGAAATCTTTTGGTTTTATGGGCACTGCTTCTTATTTGTAGAAATGCAAAAAAAATCCCCTATAAATAATCAGACATAGTGAATAAAACTGTGTATTTCTCAAAATAGATATTTTGTTTGTTGAAGGATCAGTTGCCATGATACTGCTTTTCTTTTCTGTGCAGGCAGATCTGGTGTATGTGAATTATGGCCGCACTGAAGATTTTTTTAAGCTGGAGCGTGAAATGGGAATTAACTGTACAGGAAAGATTGTCATTGCCAGATATGGGAAGATCTTCAGAGGAAACAAAGTAAGGGTTGTGTTTTATTTTTTTCCTCTGTGGGTCAGACACTGCTTGTGGTAGAGCCAGTGGGAGTTACGAGGGCTGTAAGTTGAAACATCTGAGCAGAAGGAAGCCTGCAATGTATCCATTGTGACTGCATTGTGAGAATAACTTCCAAAACAATAAAACCAAATGAGTGTATTAATCTTCTGAGACTGAGATGACTGCAAACTCCTTAGGCAGCTCTTGCAAGTGGTTAGTTTAGGGAACTGAGTAGTTAAGCCAAGGTTTTTAATACTTGTCATCCATAGAACTGCAGTATTTTGAAGAAGTAAGTATTTGATGAGGAATCTGAAGCACAGAGATTGAATGACTAACTCTTCAGACTTTAGACGAGTCTGACAAAATTGGTGATAGTGGGGACAGTGGTCAGTATTTGTGCCTTAGTTTAATGTCCTGTGCTTCATTTCATAGCCTTGGGCTATGACTAAAAGTGTGACACAAATAATGAACATGCTGTATTTCACTATGGTTTGTTCTTCTGCTGAGTCTGTCATCATTTTAACTCTTCCACATATACAACTTCTAAAGTTACGTCCCTGTGAAAGTAAATTGCAACACTGAGATTTATTACTGCATTAAAAAAAAAAAAGCATTTCTTAAAAGCAAATATTTTCACAGGTTAAAAATGCCATATTAGCAGGAGCCCAAGGGATCATACTTTATTCAGACCCTGCTGACTACTGTGCCCCAGGAGTAGATCCCTATCCAAGTGGCTGGAACCTTCCAGGTGGAGGAGCGCAGCGTGGGAATGTGTTAAACCTGAATGGAGCTGGGGACCCTCTAACACCCGGTTATCCTGCAAAAGGTGAGTGAAAGATCTGTACCCTGGGCCATCATGTACTTTATAAACTGGTGCTGGAAGTTACTGTGGCACTAGAGATTCATCTATTTTCAGTACAGATGCAAAAGAAAAAAACTGCTTAAAATTTTTAGCAGTAGTTAGTTTTCCTATTGCAGACTAAATTCTACTTGTGTGTCATTTCAACTGGTTGCTATTGCTTTAGACAGGGAAACTAAGCTTTTAGGAAAGCGTCTTTGTATGATCCCAGCTTCGTAGCTCTTAGAAAAGCAGAATCTGTAGGTTTACAGACTGTGAAGCAGTAGAAAATGACTGAGAATTTATAGCCATTTTTAAATATCTGTGTTTTTCAAGAGGACCAGTTTAAACTAGCTTATAGTCTACCATCAAAGAGGAGTAATACCTTTGCTTGGAGGTATGTTTCCTTGCTGATTCTAAATTTCAAGCAGACAAACAATTTAAAATCCTTTTTAGAGGGAGTAAAATTTCTGTATTAAAAATAACAGTAGCCTCGAGTCTTTTAAAACTTGGCACCATGTGCTTATTTTGTCCTTGTAGACATCCAGAACTTAGTCTGAACTAAACTGCCTACCAGTCCTATCTGCTGATAGGATGGGAATACAGGGGTGCTTCTGAAAATCTTACTGCCTTGTGTGACCATTGTTGGGAACATAAAACAGCACCATCCTGAAAAAAAAAAAAAAAAAAGAAAAAAAAAGATAGATTGTGTGTGCCTGACCCGTCAGATTCAGAGAAACATTGACTATCTTTGACAGAGGTAAATGCGTGTGAGACAGGGGCTGTCTTCACTTCACACACCAGGTTGGTTATCCCACAGTTAGCTTTGAGATGTAATAATACAGATGGACAGCAAATCTAACCTTGCATCAAATGTGGGGACTTCTCTTATGTACTTGTGAAGTTGCACTATGAGTTTATGGCTCTGTCATTAAATTTTGGATTCCCAGAAGCAATATCTAATAAATTATGTAAGAATTAAGAAAATGATGCATGCTTGTGGCTACTGTGTGGCTGCACTGTTCTAAAGTATTTCCAGTTTGGTGAAAGTTGCTAAGAACACTATAAACTTGACATTTTGTTCTGGTTTCTCAGAGTACACTTTCAGGTATAAAGTTAATGAAGGTGTAGGGATTCCCAAAATCCCAGTTCATCCCATTGGATATCATGATGCAGAAGTATTATTACGGTGAGTATACATCAGTCCTCCTCACCAGAAGTCAGTATTCACAAATATGCAGCAAAATTTTTTATAGTAAGATGGTAAATTCTATGCTGTTACTTGTATTTATAGCTCTTTTGTAATAGTGTGTGCTTCAGGAGATGTAGAAAATTTAAGGCAATCTGTTTCTGGTATCATGTTTTTAAGAATTTTATAAATCCACCTTGGTTTAGGTGCAGTAATCATTAAGGGAATTCAAGGTTTAACCTACTGGTCAACTACATTTGTCTTGGTTTTCACTTAACAGTGCAATGGGAGGACCTGGAGCTCCAGACAGCAGCTGGAAGGGAGGTCTTAATGTTTCTTATAACTTAGGGCCAGGATTTGCAGACAACTCTTCTACAAGGTCTGTTTCAACACTATATATAAAATTTATATTTATAAAATATTGAAAAAAAAAATATCAACAAGAGAAAGACTGCGAAACAATGCATCTAGAGATACTCTGGAGAAACATACTTCCTTCTGAGTGGGCAACACTTGGTGATAACTATCAGAGTTTGAAAATAAATTATCAAAACTATGGTTTTGCTCAACGTCCCCACTATCAACAGATAGACAGATTCAGAGGGTAAAAGTTCAGCCCTGTCATTCTAACTTTAATCCTTACTTTAAGGTTCAGACATTGTTTCACTGGTCCTTTTAAAAAACAGTTATATAGCCATAAGTTGACATTTTTAAATACTGTGGAATTAATCCTAAACTTCATCCTCACTTCAAGATTTGGTCTTTCTTTCTTGTTTCTGATGACCAAGGGGACAATAGGTCAGCCAGCATGTAATGGTCCAATGGGGAAGTACTGACAATTCAGTAGTTCTCTTATATGCATTTTTCCCTTGTCCCTTGGAAGCCTCCTAGGGTTTCTGTGAACTTAGAGCTGTGAAGTGTGGAGATTATTTTGGAGTCCCTCAACTGTTCCCCAGAGCTGGTGGGGCCCATGGCGGAAAGCTCTGAAAAATAACAGAACAGAAGAACCCAAAGCACGTATATCTTACTACTTTGTTTGTGAGGAACTGACCTTTGACCAGTTGGATTAGCAATAATATGTTTGCAGTTTACATTTTTTCAGCCCTAACAGAGAAACACAACTGTCCAGGTCCAGCAGACCAAACAATGTAAAAGCTGCATTTGGCAGTCAGGGATTTGGCTGGCTGTGAGGGACTGTCATACCATTCCTCCTTGTTTATAGCTGATAATCTGCAATAGATAAAGCTAAAGATCACTTTTCTATAGGAATATGTCACATAAAAATAGTTTCAGTTTACATCAGTTTTTATGCTATGAGGACTGGCAGCAAACAGCAATGAACAGTGAGTAAAAATGATGTATCGTTATCATTGCTCCACCTCCTGCAAAACAACAGTGTGTCTGAGTATATAATTTTATTACAACTGCAATGATTATTATTCTTTTCGATTCTGCTTCAACACTAGCTGAAAGTTAATAAAGTAGGAAAATGAGTAAGAAAGCATATTTGACATAATTAAGGTTCTGTTTGGAATGCCTTGAAGAGCAAAAGCGAGAAAAGAAACTATAATTCATCCACAAAACATACACATGGGAAATATTTTTGAAGAGATCAAAATGAACCTTTTGAGGGTAGGTAGGAAGGGTATGAACCTTTTGAGGGTATGAACTTTTTGAGGGTGGGTAGAAAGTCACTTACACATGAAAAGTGTGCAAGTATATGCATGCTTAAGGCACTGTTGTAAATTATTTTCTGGGCAAAGATCCAGTAGCTATCCTGAAGTAGGTTTTGATTTTGACAGCTATGCAGATTTGCTGCTGAAAAGATAACTTCAAATGTTAAACTCTTGGGGTTTTGCCAGACACAAAAAAAAGCATTGTTTGATGCTTTGTTTCTTCTACAGGTTAAGAAGGGCTGAATGCTACAATTTTTTTAGCTCTCCTAATACCTGAGTTTCCTTCCTTTTTATAAAATTTCACAAGCAGATTTTACTGGGTATGGAGTGGTGGAGGGTTGACCAATCTTGATCACTTAAATCTGGTGTCCTAAACAGTGATTTGAATTTATTCCTAGATTAATATTTCTAATGACCTTCGCTCCAAGTTTTATCTTATTACATGGAATTGTGCTAGAAAACCAAAGTGTATACTTTATAAAAGTATGTAATATCCACAGTTATGATTTTGATCAAAATGTAAAGGTATTTTCAATTACTGTATATACTTTTCAGTTTACTCCTCTAATACATGATTATCCGAGTGACTCCCATAAATAACAATTCAATAAATTCTGTAAATGTTTGAAAGTTTATAGATTGGCCCACTTCATAGGGTTATTTCTAAAGCATCTTTCTGTCAGCAGGTTAACCTGAAATAAAAAATGGGACACTGATACAGCATGACAGGTTAGATTGCTGCTGAACACACAAAGCAGAACAGAAGCACAAACTTTCTGGCTTACGGGCTGTTACCCTGACTTTTTATTGCCTCTCAGTCAGGGATGATTACCCCATACTGTTTTTCATTTCAGAAAAGTCAGAATGCATGTTCATACAAACAATAAAATAACACGAATATACAATGTCATTGGCATCCTCAGAGGAGCTGCGGAACCAGGTGAGCATTGGAAGCTTGAGGATTTTAATTCCTTCTTTATTTTGTCTTTGGTGAAATTATTCTCATGTTGCAAGGATTGTCAAGTTTTTTAGATAGCCAGATAATACAGAACCAGCAAAACCTTTAATAGTTGTCCTGTCCTTGCCATCACACTGTTTTTCATTGGCATTCCCAAGAATATATTTGAATGAGAATGCTAGAATGACAGATGTCAGAGAATTTTTTTTTTAATGCCTGCCATTTTACAATAGGTTTCCCCTTACATCATTCATATATTTTGCCTTTGCAAAAATTAACACAATTGAAAGTATGGAAAACTAGTGATGAATTGGGACCTCAACACACTATTGTTGATACTCAGTAGCACACCATATACATGAAAGGCTTTTAAGTGGAAAATATGTATTAAATATTTTTTATCATCATTTATATATATACTTCAGTAGTGTAAGTGAATGAGTGCAGATTACCTTAAAAATAAATTTGTAGCACTCGTATTAAACTTCATATTTTGTTTGACACAAATAGGGATGCAATCAAAGGAAATACAGGTAACCTCAATGCATTTTTAATTAAGGATTGATATTGTATGTTTGTTTCCAGACAGATATATTATTTTAGGAGGTCATAGAGACTCTTGGGTATTTGGTGGTATTGATCCAACTACGGGTGCAGCTGTTCTGCAAGAGGTTGTACGCAGTTTTGGTAAAATGAAGATGGAAGGTAATTTACTAACTACAGGCATAAAATGATGGATATGGAAAACAGAAGCTTTGAGGAACTATGTTGAATGTTCCCATAAGCAGTTGTGTTAATTTAACTTTTCACCTCCACAGAAAGTTGTATTTCTCATTATGACAGATGCAAATTCATTGAAGAGATGCATATGTAGCATTGCATCTTAGTTGGTTCAATTTATTCCCTCACGACTCTCATCAGTGCAATAGTACCCTCTTAGCTGTGTGGGATTAAAATATCTCTGCAATAGTATGTTTCTCTAAGGAGTTTAGAGAGGATTTTTTTCACTCCTATATCAATTAAGTGCTATTTCTTTAAAATTATTTCAATTAACTGTGGTGACCTTTCACTCGACTTTCTAACTTTAAGTTGGATTTTCAAGTTTAATTCTGTGATTGCAGGTTGGAGACCTAAACGAACTATTATTTTTGCCAGCTGGGATGCAGAAGAATTTGGATTATTGGGTTCCACAGAATGGGCTGAGGTAAATAAAAAGTAGTGTAAAGAAAGCGAAACTTGAAAGCCTGTTGCAGGCAGTGACACCTATTCCTAGTCTGAAATCAATAGCTTCAAGGTAAAACTGGAACACAAGAGATTCCTTCTGGTACTGTAAGGCCCTCATATATTTTATGCAAAGTACCTACCTAACTTCTTACAACATAAGTGCACTAACTCTTCTAAGGTTTAAAAATCTACTTTGATTCAAAGCTAATGTCCCTCGGTGGTCTCTATATGGAAATCTAACCCTTCATTTAACAGAATGATAGCATTTTATATAACCTAAATTGGTTTATTTTCTAACTTTATATTTGAGAAATTCCTCAGTTTCTATAAACTAAAATCCAGATCATGTACCTGTGATTTATAAGGACATCAAACCCTTTGTGTGGACATTAATACTCTTGGGCAAATGAAAAGGTAGGTAATCTATGAGTGAATAGTTCCAAATTCCTGTGAAACTGCCAGTATTGTAGACTTTCAGGGGCAGGACAATCTCTGCCTTGCCCTGTGGAGAAGGACTTGGGGGTATTGGTGGATGAAAAGCTGGACATGAGCCAGCAATGTGTGCTTGCAGCCTAGAAAACCAACCATATCTTGGGCTCCATCACAAGAAGCGTGGCCATCAGGGTGAGTGAGGTGATTCTGCCCCTCTGCTCTGTTTTTGTTAGACCCCCTGCAGTACTCTGTCCAGCTCTGGAGTCCTCAGTAAAGGAAAGAAATGGACCTGCTGGAGCTAGTCCAGAGGAGGCCAGAAAAATGATCAGAGGGATGGAACAGCTCTCCTCCGAAGAAAGGCTGAGAGAGTTGGGGTAGTTCAGCCTGGAGAAGAGAAGGCTCTGGAGAGACCTTATTTCAATACTTAAAGTGGGCTTATAAAAAAGATGGGGACAAACTTTTTAGCAGGACCTGTAGCGATAGGACAAGGGATGATGGTTTTAAACTCAATGAAGATAGATTTAGATTCGGTGTAAGGAAGAAATTTTTTACAATGAGGGTGGTGAAACACTGGACCATGTTGCCCAGAGAGGTGGTAGAAGACCCATCCCTGGAAACATTCAAAGTAAGGCTGGATGGGCTCTAAGTAACCTGATGTAGTTGAAGATGTCCCTGCTCACTTCAGGGGGTTGGAACTAGATTAACTTTTAAAGGTCCTTTCCAACCCAAACCATTCTATGGTTCTATGGTTCTGTAGTTACTTTTGTTGTCTGTATTTCTGCCTGATAGAAGGATGTTGGGAAATTCATAAGGGAGGTTCTGAATGTTTTTCTCTTCCTTTCCCTGTTCAGTTCTTAACCCTGTAAATGGATTTGTTCAGCTCTGGTAAGAAATATAAGTCTTAGGAGAGTTTTCACTGCTTTGTCTGTAAAATCCAAATTAGAAATAGAGCAGGCAGAAAATTGTCTGATGAAACACATTTCTGCTGAACTATGTCAATTTATTATTACTGAATGGTTTAACAGAAATGTGCTGTCTTGTTCTTCTGTTAGAATTTTCTTTACAAGGTTATATTTAGATATGTGAATAGAGCTTTCATAATCTATAAAATAAAATATTTTCATCTTTTTGTTTTAGTTTATTGGCATATATTTCAGTAAACCGCAGAATTACATAGCAAAATTACACGTGTCAGGGGAAGGAACAAAACCAGAAATATGCTCTAAAACACCAAAGGGATTCCATCATTCTGTTAACAAATCTGGGATTTCTGTTCCCTTGGTTTTGCACTAATTCTTTCTCTCATAAACTGTTTAGCTTCCAGCTGCAATAGACTCTAACTGTTGGTTTATTGGATATTAGATGAAGAAAGCATAATTTAAATTATCTTTAAAATAATTTACTGAGAGATTTTAAAGAGTTGGCATTAAAGTTTCACCCCACCTGAACTCCACTGGTAACGAAAGTATATTGTATATAAAACTTTATTGGTGATTTTTTGTCTTTGTATCTGTGCACATATTTAGATGCTGTCAAGAAAAACAAGTCATGAATAAATTAGGAGTTCTTTTTATGTTTAATTTGTTCACATATTGCTACTGCAATACTAATTTAATATCTAGTAATCCATTATTTCATGAAATGGCATCTGTACTAGATTAGGAAGCCATGAGCACAATTCATATTTGAACTTCAATGTTTTTATATGATTGTTTTCTTGCTTTATCTTGGTGGTATGCATTCTTCCTCTTTGACACCTAAATTAGATTCAGTTTCTCTAGCAGCATTGCTCACAGCTTACGGTCATGTTTTCTGCAGCTGCCAGATCTGTCTTCTACTAAATCTTGAGGAAAATTAACCCATGATATTCACCATCTTCTGTGTAACAAAAAGACTCTGCAACTCTGGCAACATCCTTTTGTTACACAGTCAATCTCCAGTGTTCATAAATTAATTTCTTTATGTTGCAAATATGCTTTTGCATGTATGCAAGGCCTCACGTATGCATATACAGGCTTACTCTCTCTCTTCATATTATTTTGCAGAATCTCCTCTACTGTTTGTTTTAAAGATACTAATTTCATTATGAAGTTATCAGTTACCAATTCAATTTTTAATTCACGTGACTTACAAATGATTAGTTGGGTTATAAATTGAATTAATCAAGTGTCAATTACTAACCTAATTAGAATATCTATCACAAAGCCAAGACTTAGTAAAATACCACTTGCTGATTAGAATATCAATTTCAAACATAATTACCAGTTTGCAAAAAATTAAACAAGTGTGTGTATCTATTTAGCATGAAAGCAATGCTTGGTTGACTCAAAACAGTCAGTCAAATTAATTTTAATAGGAAATGTCAGTGCTTTGACTCATCTCTTTTAAATGGAAGAGTGTAGAAATAACAGCAATCCTCGGTTTATCAGTGTTAAAATTGAATTCAGTGCTGGGAGCTCACATGAATAACTAGGGATTAAAAGCATGAAGGAATTCTGGTTAACCTCATTCTCATATTGCATGTTAAAAAAGAACTGCAAGTGCAGAGTTAAAACACGTGTATAATCTTAATTTACCTTGTTACAATGCTGTTCAGTAATTTTCCTGTTCCATCTTGCTCCTGTGTGATGCAGCAGGCAGCATCTACATTTTGTGGATGTTTTCCACAACAAATTAAGTCCCAGAAAGCCAGAGTGAATTTCATATGCCCAGATCATTGAACCATCCTCAAGAATTAATATATTAAGTAGGGTACATAGTGCTACTTATCCTGCCAGTGTTCTTAAAGGTGATGCTGTAAAAAACTGTGCACTTAACATGCTCTTGACTAAATGTTACTAACTGAAACTAATAACTACACTTCTACAACCACAGGAAAATGCCAGAGTCCTTCAGGAACGGGCAGTTGCTTACATCAACACAGATTCTTCTATAGAAGGTGTGTCTTAATTTTAAACTCACTTTACTTCACAGTTGTCAATTTTAGTAGTTCACTGTGTATTACTTATTGCATCCAGAGCTGGCAAACATAAGATAGATAATGTGATGTTCAGAATAAGTGTAGCAAATACAGAATTAAGTGGGGAGAGAGAACAATTTAAATTCTCATGTTGCTTTCTTGTTGCAAGTAGTGCCATCCATGAGCTGCAGCCCATGTGTGTGGAGTCCAGAATGTCTCCTCTGGAGGAGTTTAGTATTCTGTGCTAATGAACAGAGCAATCTGAATGTTAAACTCTCTCTTAGCTACATTAGCTTTAATTTACAATTATAGTTTTAATATAAGGCACACTGTTCCTTGTTCTGCTTGCAACTCCAGCTTCTTTCCCTGTGGAACTGTAATATTTTGGGACAGTAATTTATTACAATTTTAAGATAATATGTGTTGAGACCTTAGGCTTACATTTTGTGTGAGTGGGACCCATTTTGGTGTGTTTGACCAGTGTGGTCACCCTTGTTCATTGCTATGAGCAAGAAGAATATGCAGGGAGTTACATATGTATTATGCCAGGGCTCTTCTAAAAAAAAAAAGTGCTGAGGAGAACAAAAAACTTGATCCACCATTATCCCTTCATATTCCTGTCATACAGGAATGCTACTTTGAATTATGGGCCCAACACTATGATCTAAATCATGAAATCCTTCTTAAATTATGCTGAGCTTTATTATGGAAGAACTTCATTTGCTGTTGTTTGTGCTGAAATAATAGTAGAGTGCTGTGATGCTGTCCTACATCATAATGTCAGCTATTTAAGGCATTGCTCTTCCCATGTTAAACTCAACTTCTTTGGGCTTACTGTGTGTGAATTACATGGATATCAACAGGCATATTTAAGAACTCGTTTTATTCCTGTCAGCTGGAAATTTTGTCAGTCACAAAAGGATTGGAAAGAAGGAAAAGCCAAACCTAGTTTCTAAATGCTCAGTTGGAGCTGGGGTATAGGGAGGGTTAGAGCTGTTCCTTCAATTATGCAGCCTACATGCTGTGGAAAAAGTAGAGCAGAATTTCACACCTAGAAGATCTCACAAATGAAATAATAGCTTTACTACTGCTTCATATTCTCAGCATGGATTATAACACACATTTTTTAGTTGTTTTGCAGCCAACATGCTGCTGCCTTAACAATTTTCTTCCAAATCTTGATTATTCAAACATATCTTGTGCTTTATGCATTAAAGAAAATATGAAAGTAGAACCACTGGAAAAGAAATATGTAATAAGGAAAAGAACACCATATTCAGTGTACTATTTTAAGTACCTTAGACATCTTTCACCTGTCTGAGCATTAAAATCCCATATACAGCCATAGCATCCATATACTCTGTGGTCATCATACATTCACCACAGCACTTCTTATGCCACATTTTGGACAGCAAATTATTTCTATTCATTGTCCTTTAGCAACACGAAGAAGAGTGGGTCATCCTTTTGAGCATTTTTGTTCTTAAACATAGATTCATAACATATCTAGTATTTTTTCCATCATCATGGGGTTTTCTGTAATTGTCAGTCTAATTGTCTTGTAAGTACACACTGTACAAAGGATGACCCAAAAGTCTAAAACCATATCAAAACCTAATAACACTGTTATCTGAGAGTTTAAGTTTTATTATGTCCAAGCCTTCTTACCCCCTTCCCCCCTTTATTATTGTCTGTATTTGAGGGCAGAGCCCAGCTGCTGTCCAGTGGCTGTAGTCTAGAGAAGACTACTTTACACTCCTGCCTGCCTCAAAAGTAGCAATAGTTTATTTTCGATGGGGCTCTTGTTGCTGTAACTGAGAACTTTGGTATGAGATACTTACCAAGCTCATCATAGCCTGCAGGCAGTGTGGAAATCTCATGGGTATAAAGTGTACAAGACACAGCATGGTGGTAAAAGGGGAGGTTTAGTAGACAATATATGAAAACGTTGCTCTGCATCTTTGTTACTTCCTATTTGGATGCGTCTTAGTTCTGAAATACAAAATGTCAAATGTCTTGCAAGTCTCTTACTCAGAAGATGACCTGTCTTTCATATACAGTCTGCAAAAACAGTGAGAAAGTCCTCGTTAGGATAAGAGAAGAAGCAGCTGCATTGAAAGACTTCTTAGAATGTCTTGCAGGGAATATGTCTTTCCTGCTGCACTGTTCCTGAATGCACCAACTTTCACATCCTACAAAAAACAGGGTGTTACCATTGCCTTCTGTTTAACACAAGGTTTGGCGGGAGTATGAGTGACATGGGCTTGTAGTTAACGAGGGATAGTTGGACATATTTTAGAACTCTGGGAAGGCTTAATTACATTACTGTGTATGTACCATAACCAGTGCAACATTATTGTATACTAGCGGTAGCTATACAATGTGACCAAGTAGTCTATTTCTGTATATATTCTGAGGCGAGGTCTAAATTCTTGCCTTGGAGTCAAGAAGTTTGTCTAAGAAAGAACTGCAGGGTTTAATCCATTAAGAAGATAATGCTACTGGTATTTGAAGGGAAATTTCCATGTCTTTGTTTCATTTTCAGGCAACTACACACTGAGAGTTGACTGCACTCCTCTTCTCTACAAACTGGTGTATAATCTGACAAAAGAGGTACAGAATCAGAGTGTCTATTATTTATGATTTTCTAAAAATATAAACCTGCAAGTTTATTGAATACAATTGTATTATTGAATAGTATTGGATTTATCATATCACTGTGCTGGAAGAATCTTGATCCCACCAAAATCAATAGCAAGACATCTTGTCAGTGGTACACAGTCCAGGCTCACAGTTCCCCAGGTTGAAATGTGTCACTGACCTAAGTGGAATATTATTTGTAACATATAGTAAAAATAACAGTGACAAAAACAAGATAATAAAACACCTGAGCAAGATAAATTCTCTACAGTGATAAGCATTCAAGGAAATAAATTGCATTGTAAATTTCTATTTCATGTGCAAAAGTGAATCTATTCTTTTTCACATTGTCTCTCTGTCTGTTTCCCCTGAACCTCCTTCATATCTCACTGAGTCCCTGAAATACTGTGATAAATATTGAAGGATTGAGTGGGTTTTATAACAGGCCAGTTATATGGATTTGCATGATTACAAGTGTTCTAATCATGTCTCCTTTGCTTTCACCTCTCAGGATGAATTATCATAAGGCTGAAAGATTGTGGTCCACTAAAGCATGAAACTTCATGGGCTGTATGAGGAGTTAGTTAACCAGATCAGGCACCTAGCATGAGCCATTGTCACTATCCTCAGGTCTGCATTCATCTCAATTAACAGAAGATGTTTCTACCTGACTTAAAAACATAGGCCCCCTTTAAAGGCAATGGGTAGAAGTAGGTACATTTAGGATAAGATTCATTTGACCATTTATTTGTGGTTGTCTACTCTTGTATCTACAGAACTCTCAAACTATTTTTCCCCTTGATATTTAGGGAATCCAAGTGACTTGATCCAGTGTAAAAATCTGCACTTGGTAGGATGACTACAGCTACTAGTCTCCCATCCCATTAGATACATTCAACCTGAGTTATTTTCAAATGCAGTTTACTTTCTTTTATCACTGGAAATGCTATGGTTTAATCTGGGCCAGTTTGTCTATGCTATTCCCATGTTTGCTTTTTTTTTTTTTTTCTACATTTTGTTTTCTTATCAACTCTTTCTATCTTACTCTTTCTTCCTCTCTGGGGAAGAGACTGTGCTTGTTCAAATGTTAGCTGTGACACTTTGCACACTGAAGGTCATTCTGTTTCACCTATAAAAATTCATATGCCCCTAGTGCTGTGGGGCCCTGGATAAAATAATTTACTTTCTGTCTGCAGAAAGCCACTTTACAAATGGAGCTATGAAGAATATGGATGAATATAATGTACTTCTAGGAGCTTTTTAGCAGGGAGACAGCGTGGAATTATGGAATAGTTGTCAGGTTTTCTGTTGTTTACATTATGCTTCCACTGTTAAAAGCTTAAATAACACTGAATAGGAAAATTTTGAAAAAAGCCAATCTCAGGTCCTTTGTATGATACTTTAATTGAAGTTTTCTACTCAAACCCAGCAAAAGTTGAATAGTTGATTTAAGACCAAGAGTGAGGTACTGTATTTAGCCCAGAGCATTTTTTTACTTTGTTTATCTTTTGAAGAAAAACGTATCCCTGGGTAAGTGGCTTGCTGCAGACGTGGCCACTTATGGTATAGAGTTGTCAGTGAAAAATCTCTACTATTTCTTGACCTCCTTAAAGCCACTGTTGGAACGTCTTAGTTTTTTTTTTTTTCTTGTTAGCTTGTTATAGACAAAACCCACAACTACTTTTTTTTTCTTCTGTTGTTCCACACAGCAGGATTCTGCAACAACATTCTCATTCTCTGCTGTTCTCTGCTTTCTGTACACAGTTGAAGAGCGCTTTCCCCAGTTTTATCATATTGTCTCTGTCCAAAGAATCATATCTGCAATCCTTTTTTCTTTTTATTCTTTTTTTTTTTTTTTCACTGACTTGCTAAATAAATTTGAGACACTCCTTGTCACATTTTTCTAGAGGAGTGTTTTCCCCTTTTTTTACTGCTAGACTTGGAACCACCTCTCATCTTTTTGAAAAATAAAATCATAGTTCAACTTTTACAGTGATTGAACATTGTAGTTTTCATTTCCAAACAGTCTTTCATTTACCAGTGTTGATGTGCCACCAGTGACCTCCAATGATCTATAAATCACAGGCTGTGAAACCTGTCTGTAGAACATTTATACTCTTTTGAACTTTTCTGTAAGATCATTCATAGAGATTGTTGGAATTTTCCTAAGGGAAAAAGATGTTTTGATGGACTCTTGTAGAGAAGTCAGGGATACCAAAGGACCTTTGCTGAAGGACCACTTCTAGATAGCAGGACATTTTTGTTGGCATAGAAATGTGTACAGGTGGCTGATAGACTCTGTAGAAATGTGGCACAACTTTTACTTAGCTCTCTACTTCTAGCATCATAGAATAAAATTAATTTAAGGGGTCAAACATGTTTATTCTCCAGGTCTCTAAAAATTCCAGTGAATTGGATTAGCAAAAGAGAGAGAGAAACTAAAGCAACACCTAGGACAGGGAAGCTCTGCTTTGCAGAGGGATCTGCCTATTTTTATTTCTTTCTTTCTTCACTTGAATTTAGGTAGCCTCTAGCAAAGATAACCTGTACCTTTGCTAATCAAGTTATGTCTTTTCTGGTAACTTGTATAAAGTCATGAAAGACTAAGGCAGAGTGGTTGCTTTCTTAGTTTTGCTATTTCAACTGAAATGCATTTGGTTTTGGACGACATTGGGAAGCTAGATGTACACATCAAAGCTTCAACCCATTAAGTCTTTGCATGTCCTGATTGGTAGTTTCTTGAACAAGAACAGTGAAAAGGCCTGTGCACTTCAGGAGTCCTAGCTAATTCTTGGAAACAGCATGAATAGGACTGAAATGTTCTCTATTGCTTTGCATTAGGCTTTTGCATGGGAATGAATTTCATTCAGGAAGTCCAGTATGTGAAAAAACATTAGTGCAGATGTGGGTGATTATGCATGTCCAGAAGAAAGTTATTTCTGTTCATATTACAGAGTTCAGCATCCAACATCCCAAGATCTCTTTGCTCTTCTTGTTTTTTAGTGAGCCATTTCTCACCAAAAAAAATGTTGTGTAGACATGAAGTGTCATCTTCCAAGGAGTTCTGCGTTTAAATGTGGTCCTCAGCATGCAGATGGGACATTTAGCTGTTGAAAGACTTTTTTGGCCCTGCTCTACTGCTAGGCTTTAAACAATTGGTCACCACCAGCCAACATCTGCAATAGTCCAGCTCCAGTTCCCCTGTTCTGAGCATCTCTTCTTACTTTCTGTTTATACAAGAACTCTGCATGTTCCCTCGAGGTAGCAGTAAGCTTATGCTGATTCTAGATTTGGATCTAAGTCAGGGTAAATAGTATGTTTTACTAGGCTCTCAGTGTTGTATGTAAAAGCTGGCCAATGATTTTTACATGACCAGAGCTGTCAAAAAAATATCTCTGCCAGAGCATGGAGTACTTTTACTCCCATATGTCAGAGTTCAACTTGCTTTTATTAATGTGCCATTTTCGATTTAGCCCTAGAACTTGATCAAAGTGCCCTAAAAATGACAGCAGCCAAGCAGTTGCTTCACAAAGTTGTTATTTTGCTGCTAGCTGCTGACACAATCTTAGAGGTCAAGACTCTTTGCTTTTTCAATTTGGAGTCTGTATATTTTTCAATGCAGAATTTAAGTCTCAACAATACGGTGGGAGTGTGCATCTAGCCATGAACATTTATGGGGTTTTAATTTTGAAAAAAAAAAAAAAAAAATCCCAATCCTGTGCACATCATAACCAATCTTATATTTAAAGAACCAGGTCTATTAAAGATTTTTTTAAGTGTAGATGGAGACCAGGACCAGAGTCTTGATTTATTTTTACCTCTGCCACAGATTTTCTAAGAGCTTTGGTCAGGTAATTTTTATACTCTTTCATAGTTTTCCTGGCTGTATGATTGCTGTACAAATACTTACCTTTTCCATCCTGTGTACATAGCTTTTCAATTTTTTTAAGGTAAGGTCGGGACCTGCATTTGTACATACAGTGTTTTGCACAATGGTGCTCCAGTCTTGTTTGATCCCCTTGGCAGTGCTGTAATATAATTAATGATTAATTCTGGCCTGTCCTAGCAGAATTCTTTTGTACTCTTCCTATAGAAAAAGCAGTCAAATTTCAGGCTCAGCCTGTTGAGACAATATTGCTGCTGTGCAGGGCAAACCTCCACAGGATTAGGGCTGCAATTTCCCCTTACCTACTGACAGAAAAGCAGCTGGAGCATCCTGGCTGCTGGAGGAGCTCCATAATGTTATATATGTGGCTGTGTGTGAACAACACGGTGTTATAATAAGGTGGTAAGAAATCTAGAAATCCCCAGGATCCACTTCCCCCAGAAGTGGATGAGCTCCAGTTAGCATCCTTGAGCCTTTAACCTGCTCTTCCCCATTCTCTGTGGTTGGTTCCAAGTGCCTGTGAGATGCTTTTCGTGGCTGGGATCTATAAATGTATGTAACAAATGTAAATAATGTATGTGTACTTCCCTGCATGCAGCAATGCTGTTGATTAAGAATGATGCAGATGATAGCTGTCAAAGTCTCTTTTGATAATGAATTGAGTTAGAGGGAGTCCAATGAGATTATATTACTTTCCTCTCCAGATTTTAAGCCCTGATGAGGGTTATGAAAATAAATCTCTTTATGAGAGTTGGCTTGAGAAAGATCCTGCAACTGAAAATAATAGCTATCCCAGGTAAGTTGTTAGCTTTTCTTTCCCAGTATTTTCATCATTTCATAGCATGGCTATTCTCCAGATTTTTTCAATCTGTACTACTGATGACAGCACTACCAAACCTTTTAGTACAAGGTGACTCTCTAGCAATATCTTTTAAAGTAAAATAAAATCAAATTTTATTACTTTATTTTTAATGATGGTGACATCTATGCCTGCTGTAAAATGAAACCTCACACTTTTTAAAGGCCCTTTACTAGTAGAAAA